TGTTCACTCTACATAATCTAATCTAATAGACCCCTGCAAGTTTCTTCTTTTCCTTCACGCATTCTCTTTACTTTTGTTGTTGATCCCAAATTAATCGAAAGCGGTTGATTGAATTTTTCAGCTTTAATTTTTATGGGTTCTTTTTTTTTTTTCGATTAATGATGTATGTGGATTTGAACCTACCATTCTTTCCATCGTTGCTGCTAACCTGCAAATAGCTTTCTGCTTTCATTAGAGTTCATTCATGTTTGTTTCAACTACTCAGAGGATACCCATTTGCAATTGGATTAATTTAATAACGCTCATTCTGTTGGGTAATTTGAGAATCTATGTATTTCACTTTCTGTTAGTTGATAGGTATGCTTGTGTGAAGAAGATAATCTTTCAGTTTTGCTCTCTAGAGAGAGAAAAGTAAGAACCTTGTTACCTTTTTGATGAAAACTTGATTATGGATGCAGAAATTGAGTCAGACGGCTAACAGACAGCCTACTGTTGCGAGGGGAGAAGACAGTGGTGCTGAGTATGTTAATATTGGTGAAGTGACATTCCCTAGGTCGGTAAATGTCAAGAAATTAGCAATCTTGCCACTTATTTTTCTCATCTTCTATGAGGTTTCTGGCGGTCCCTTTGGAATTGAGGATAGTGTTGGTGCTGCTGGACCCTTACTAGCCCTTGTTGGATTCTTGGTGTTTCCTTTCATTTGGAGTGTTCCTGAGGCATTAATAACTGCTGAGATGGGTTCCATGTTCCCTGAAGATGGTGGTTATGTTGTTTGGGTTGCATCTGCATTAGGTCCCTATTGGGGGTTTCAGCAAGGATGGATGAAGTGGCTTAGTGGGGTTATTGATAATGTTTTGTACCCTGTTCTGTTTCTTGACTATTTGAAGTCTGCTATCCCTGCTTTGGGTGGTGGGTGGCCGAGGTTAGTAGCAGTCTTAGCTCTGGCTATAGTCCTCACTTACATGAACTACAGGGGTTTAACCATTGTGGGATGGTTTGCTGTTGCTCTTGGGGTCTTCTCCATTCTTCCTTTTGTGGTCATGGGATTGGTGGCTATCCCCAAGTTGGAACCTTCAAGATGGTTTGAAGTCAATCTGCATGATGTGGATTGGAATTTGTATTTGAACACACTCTTTTGGAATCTAAACTACTGGGACTCAATTAGCACACTCGCTGGAGAGGTACAAAACCCTAAGAGAACTCTCCCAAAAGCTCTGTTTTATGCCTTGATCCTGGTTGTTCTTGGGTATTTCTTCCCTCTTCTAATTGGTATTGGGGCTCTTCCAGTTAACCGGGAGTTGTGGACTGATGGTTATTTCTCAGACATAGCTAAAATGATAGGGGGAGTTTGGTTGAGATGGTGGATCCAAGCAGCGGCAGCAATGTCAAATATGGGGATGTTTGTGGCTGAGATGAGCGCTGACTCTTTTCAACTTCTTGGGATGGCTGAACGTGGGATGCTGCCTGAGTTCTTTGGGAAAAGGTCTCGGTATGGAACTCCTCTGGTTGGGATTTTATTCTCAGCTTCTGGTGTTATTTTGTTATCATGGTTGAGCGTTCAAGGGATTGTTGCTATAGAGAACTTTTTGTACTGTTTTGGGATGATTTTGGAGTTCATTTCATTTATAAAGTTAAGAATGAAATATCCAGCCGCATCTCGACCATACAAGGTACCTTTGGGAACAGTTGGATCAGT